CTTTGAGCGCTGGGACGTGAGCGCTCGCATCACGATCAACCGGACGCTGCCTGGGACGTGAGCGCTCGCATCACGATGATACCAGACGCAGTAGCAGAGTTATCTTTGAGCGCTGGGACGTGAGCGCTCGCATCACGATCGATACCAGACGCAGTAGCAGAGTTATCTTTGAGCGCTGGGACGTGAGCGCTCGCATCACGATCAACCGGACGCTGCCTGGGACGTGAGCGCTCGCATCACGATCGATACCAGACGCTGCGGTGAAGTTATCTTTGAGCGCTGGGACGTGAGCGCTCGCATCACGATCAACCGGACGCTGCAACAGAGTTATCTTTGAGAAAGTGCGTGCCGCCACCAGAATCTTATTGGATCACTTACTTTGCTTTGTATTGCTTTGCTGGGAGCTTACGAGGAAGCCAGTAGCCGTTGTGCAGCCAGGATAGCGGACGCGTCTGGCCTGATGTAGGCGGAGAAGGCCGAAGAGGACCAGCGCCCCAGCTGTTGCAGAGAGGTGTGGGGGAGCCCCAGCGAGGCCGCGCGCGTGGCGGCGCCTATCCTGAAGGAGTGGGCTGTATAGAGCTGGGGAGACAATTTACAGAGGAGCAGTAGGGATCTTAGTCGAGCTCTGAACCAGGTTGCTGTCATGGGAAGGTTGTCTGGAGTGAGAAATAGAGGTCCGTTAAAATCTCCTTTTTTGCAGCGGAGGCGAGTGTAACGCATCATGGACCTGTAGGGGCAGAGAGATGTGTCGGAGCGAGCTATTATTATTATGTTGCAGGCGCCTTTGATCTTTGAATGTTTGAGATGAAGGTTGAAATGGTCAGGGGACATTATGTTGGGTGAAAAAGAGCGACCTTTGTTTAATGCTTCCACTACATCGAGATTATCACACATGACAGAGATCCTCTTTCTCTGCCACGTGTGATTCCACAGCGCGCAGGCCACGACCACTGGGAATATCTCGTGTAGGGCAGAGGAAATGCTCCGGGGAAAGTAGCGGCCACGCTCGGCAAACCACGGGTCCTGGAAGAACCCCCCAAAACCCACGGAAGGGGCAGCGTCCGTGTAGAAGCGGAGACCTGTAGGGGCAGAGACATATCGGAGAGGGCCATTGATGTTGCAGTCGCCCTTACGCTTAGAATCTTGGGTTGGAGAGTAGATAATCAGGATAGTAGGATGGTCGGGAAAGCCGTGTCTCGGACCGCATGAAGGTTGAGTGAGCAATGGTGAGACGCTTATGCAGAGAAGCCATAGAAGGAGAGCAGGAAGATGCTGCGAGGAGGGCAGACATGTACTTGGAAGATGAGCCGGAGTTCAGTGCCGCTGCAGGATGGGCAGCATGATGGGGAGCCTGCGATCAGAAGAGTGAAGAATACAGGTATGGATGCGTTTGATTAGGAGTCCGATTGACGGCTCAGCGCAGCTACTCGGCCAGCTGCATCTGATAGAATCAGAAGATTAGATAGAGAGATGAAGCACGACCGCCGAAGCGACCCTGGGAGCATAGGTGCGAGTCCAGCGCAGCGCGGCATGCTCGGCCGGGCTGCATCCATTAGAAGCGGGATAAGCTTCTGAGAGAGTGGGTTGCAGCAGTAGCAGAAGCAGCAGCAGCAGTAACCTCAGATAATAACAGCAATAGTCCTGTATCAAGCAGCAGCAGCAGCATCCTTAGAAAATAACAGTAATAATCCTGTATCAAAGCCACAGCAGTAGAATGTTGTTGTAGCTGTTCAGTGTTTCAGTAAAAGAGATGCAAGTGAAGAGAGATGTCAAAGTAAATGAAGCAGCAGCAGCAGTAGCAGCAGTAGCAGTATGAAGCAGCAGCAGCAGTTGCAGCATCCGTAGATAATAACAGCAATAATCTTGTATCAAAGCCACAGCAGTAGAATATTGTTGAAGCTGTTTAGTGTTTCAGTAAAAGAGATGCGAAGTGAAGAGAGGTGTCAAAGTAAAAGAAGCAGCAGCAGCACGGCAGCAGTAGCAGTATGAAGCAGCAGCGGCAGCAATAGCAGCAGTAGCGGCAGCAGTAGCAGCAGTAGCGGTAGCAGTATGAAGCAGCAGCGGCAGCAATAGCAGCAGTAGCAGCAGTAGCGGTAGCAGTATGAAGCAGCAGAAGCAGCATTAGCAGGAGCAGTAGCACCACAATGCGATTCATACGAACAGCAGACGTGTCACGCCAGCGTGCGCCGCTTGTCTCCGTGAGCCAGGTTACATACGTGTCTGAAAGAGCCGAGCCGTAGAGACAGGTGCAGCCTGGGAGCCCGCGGAGCGGCAGCGGCAGGAACAGCAGCAGCGGCACATGTAGTAGTAGGAGCAGCAGGAGCAGGCAGCAGGGACAGGCGGCAGCAGGAACAGCAGCAGCGGCACATGTAGTAGCAGGAGCAGCAAGAGCAGCAGCAGGAACAGGCAGCAGCGGGAACAGGCAGCAGGAACAGGCAGCAGGAACAGGCAGCAGCGGGATCAGACATCAGTAGGAACGGCAGCAGGGACCGCAGCAGCGGCGGTCAGAGAACCATGCCCATGGTTGTTTAAGAGCCTGAGGAAATAAATCAACCCGAATCCGAAACATTCCCATGCGAATAACAGATGTCCCCTGGAGCAGTCTTGCTGCTTTGGTTATGGCAGAGACGCATGAACGATCACTTTTCCACGCGTTCATTAGCTCCAACTCCACTTCACACCCATTGCAGATTCACATTGGGCCCTTTTTCTTTCTGCTGCACTTTCAAAATGCAACAACTGCAGTTTAGTTACCCAATTTAATACCAGTGACGTAGCTATTTAAATGCATGGCCCCTCCTTCCTCCTGCAGGTAGACGAATTTAAATACATTCATTTAACAATAGTGACCTGCGAGTAATTAGATTAATGCTGTAAAGATGGCGCCGTGGCAAGAGTTCTGGTGTGTGCCGTCTGGAGCACGATGGGGTAGTCTTGCAGATTTTTCCGACGTGGTTTTACTGCAAGTGGCAGAACATGAATCTGAATTAATACACATTGCTCCTCTTATATCCCTCAGACAATAGAGATTGATGCCATTTAACATGCATTGCCCTTCAGTTAGCTCAAACACGTGTGAAAACGGAGCCTGCAGACCAAGCACGGGGCGAAAACTGACGCCTGCAGTCCAGACTCCGGGATTAATCCGTCCGCGGTCAGCACACTCACATGCCAGGAGACTTGGGAAAAGCAACGGGACAACGCGGCACCGCCAATCGGAGGCAGGGACATGCACGGCACCGCCAGACCGTCTGCGCGCGGCAGCAGACCACGAGGAACGAGCAGCACAGAACCTGCAGAGGGGCCCCGCGGAGCAGCCCGCAGAAGAGCCCGCAGAGAGAGCCCACAGAGGAGGAAAGCAGTGGAGACACGCGAACCACAGCAGGTGCAGGGACACGGAGGAGGAGCAGACCACAAGCAGCCAGACTGAGGACAGCCGGGCCACGCGCACGAGCAACACGTGAGCAGAAGCGACCCCTCCAGAACAACGCATGCATTTGCGAACAGGTGCGTTAGCGACATGCACCTCGCGGACTTCAGAAGTTTGCAGACTTCAGAAGGCCGGGAAAGTGGGCGTCTCCGGCTTTTAACTTGCTGTCCTGGTGGTTATTGGTGGATTAGATGTGGGCGTTGCTGGTATGATGAGTAGAGGATGAGCAGGCTTGTAGATCTGGCAGCAGCGGCCGGGTCTACCACAGTGAATTTTCGCGAAGAGCTCCATTTTCCCATAGATCTTTGCGAGTTTCAGGCAACTTCCGCTAATCTTTCAGCCCCCATGCTGTCACAAAGCGCCACTGAGCACAACCATTCATTTGAATAGGGCGCCATCTTGGATCGCCGGGGCTTGGATGCAACACATAAGCGCTGTACACGCAGCATACGCGTGTAACATTTTTCATTTTAAGCCTATGGTGATATTTACACTATAACATTAGGTTATACACACATATGACACAAGGCTGCGCCTAAACTAGAATGTATTTCTAATTTAGTACGCACATTAAAGCTGCATTAACTCACTTTATTTTTGTATTCATTCCGAAAATTCAATCCATATCCATGCAGTGCATTGGGATACACGTCCATTTTATTTTAGATGGAGTTTTCGCGCAACAAGGAAGATAATTTGTTTTGGGACCAGATTGTGACCAATCACAGCGGACCACTGGCCCCCACTTTCTTGATAAAAGCCACAGGTCTGTGGTTAGCACAGACAGCTGAGGTAAACAAGCGGCGGAGGCTAACCTGAAACTTCTGTGTCTTTCTTACCAGTTACTGCTTACTCAGAGAAACAGACAAAAGAACGTCTTGTTCCGCCGCACTTCCCGGTTTTATCATTCTATGGTCACGCCACGTTCAAATGTGAGATCCATATTGTGAGAGGTGAGCTTGCACTTACGGGCGATAGCTCCGTGAGTGCGGGGAGGGGGAGCAGAAAGAGCGAGGCCAGCGCTCACATTCAAAAAATTCACATAGTGAGTTAGTGCAGCTTTAACGAATCTCCCAGTCAAAACACATGGGAAACTGGATTTCTAGCGGTCCTTGGCTCTAGATCACATCCACACACACACACACACACACAGCACTGGTATCTAGACATTAGCAGGACTGGCGAGTTTCACAGTGATTCTGGACATACAAGATGTTTTTTTGTTTGGTTTTTTTTGTTTACATTTTCCTGCCCCGCAGACATTTTGAGAAAGCCCCAAAGAAAGCAAAAGTGATGGCACATTAGTTTCAATGGGGGAGATAGGATAGGTATACGTTTGTTTATATTTACAGTCTATGAATGTTACGTGCGTATGTGTGCAGTCAACACTTATGTCACAGGTTAAAAGTGCTGAGGGGGTGTGACCAATAAAAAAAGGCAAAGTTAAAAGAATAAATAGATTTTAATAAAAGCAGATTAAAACAAAATAAAACGTTTCTAAAAAGGTGAATATTAAAAAAGGCCTGGATTGTCCATTGGGTTCCCTGGTACTGGACCTGCCTCCCTGGGGTCACACTGGGTTTCCCAAGGTCCGCGTTCCGTCTCCTCCGGGGGTCCGCTCGTAGCTTCTACGCACCGAGAGGGGGCCACGCATCTCGGGTGCCAGGCGTCGGGAGTCAGGTATTCTCAGGGTCCTCTGTACCCAGGCTGAGCCGCTCCTGCCCACCGTATCCTGTTCCTGTTCAGTTTCTGTTCCATTCCATTCCGCTCTGTGGGGCCACAGCCCCGGGCCTCTCCAGACCGCTCTTCCTCTCCTGCCACCCTCTCTCTGGCCTCCTCTGCCCCGCGTTTCTGCCCAACACAGTTTTTCAAAGGGTCCCAGTCCATGGCTCACAGATGCTCTGAATGCTGCATTGTGCTGCCTTCAAATGTCCTTGGTGAGGAGGGGAGATCAGATCACTTGGCAACAAGTAATGATTAAAAATAAACAAAAACACTAAAACATGCAATAAATATAAAAGCAAGTTTAAAAGCATGCAAAATATAAAACATTAAAACTTGTGCCTCTGAACACCTCCTGTGTGAATTCCCAGTTACACTGGTGAAATTAAAAGAGTCACACATTACAGACTTAAATGTTTATTGTGCAAAATAGTCAGTAGCAGCTACAGAGCTGTTGTTTTAATAGAGCTGGATTAAGCTAGAATGTGCTGTGGCTATTGTTACAAACATATTTCAGTGACAAAAACGGCCTGTTTACACATCGCTCACAAGTGGAATTCATAGACTGTGTATGAGGAGACACCTGGCCGAGTAGTGTTTGCAGAAAATGGAAGAAGCTGTTTTGAACATAAGCTAGTATCATCCTTATATGGGCATTTGATCTGATTGTGTTATCAAATTAAATATCCAATTAAAACCGCGAGATGGTAGGAGATGTATTTGTTGAGTTTGGATGTAGCAATGTCCTTATTACAGGAATCGTGAGTGAAATCTGCAACTGTGAAGCACAACATTTTTTCAGATGATCCTTTTCTCTGTGGTTTGTGTCATGAAATCTCAGAAGACTTAACTCCTGAATTCTGTAGCCAGCCAAGTTTATGGCCGTTGCCCTTTCAGGAGATCCTTGCACTGCTCCCGTATCTGCGCCAGCTGCAGTCCGTACATTAAAGGGTTAAAGAGCGGCGGGCAGGTGAAGAAGTACAGCGACAGGAGCACACTGAGCGTGCTCGGTAATCTGCTCACATCAAAGCGACTCATCACCACCTGAGAACAGCATCCAAAGGAGAAGTTCAGCACCGAGGCCAAGTGTGGAGCGCAGGTGCTGAGGGCTTTGTGGCGCGTCTGCCCTGGGGCTGACAGATCTCTGCTCAGACCCACCCGCAGGATGCAGCCGTAGCTGTAGAAGATGAAGGCCAGAGGAAGCATCATGGACACCACCGTGTACAGCAGGCCGTACACGTTGTTGATGCGTGTGCTGGAACACGCCAGCTTCACGATGCTGTAGTTTCCACAGTAAACTTTATCAATAATGTTTCCGCACAGAGGTAGCGACGCGCTCAGCCACAGTAGCACGCAGATGGCAGCGGCCGGAGCCAGCCATGTCAGGCAAAGTAACAGCGCCACCTGGGTGCGCCCCATCATGCGGTGGTAGTGCAAGGGCCGGCAAATGGCAATGTAGCGATCGTACGACATGGCGGCGAGCGTGAAGATCTCCACGCAGGCGTACTGGTAAAGGCAGAAGATTTGCAGGAAGCAGAGAGAGTATGGGACATCATGCTCGTCCCGGAGCAGCTGGAACATGAGGAAGGGGAACAGAGTGGAGCTTCCCCACAGCTCGTTCACAAACAGAGAACAGAGGAACATGTACATGGGCGTGTGCAAACTGCGCCTCGCCACGATCATAGCAATCAGCAACGCGTTAGAACCCAAGATCAGCACGTACGCACTCGCACACAGCAGAAAGTAGAGCCACCGCAAGGGCCCGAGCTCCGAGTAGGCCTCCAGAGAGAAGTGTGTGACCTGGGTCCAGTTTGACATGTTCAGGAGATTTGATTTAACTCAATTATTTATATTCACAACAGGAGTCGTCATAGGGGACTTTACAAAGTTGTCGATTTCAACAACAGAGAATCTAAATAGTACGAACACAGGAAATGCAATAATAACAAACACATAGAAGCCATTGGCCCATCTGCAAGGAAGGACTCACTCCAGAGACAAATGGAATTGATTAATCAGTCATGATAATCATTTTGACAGGAGATGTTGAATCTACTTTTGCTTCTGACTAAAGTGCAACACAAATTAATCATCCCAGTTTTTTTTTTTTTTTCATTTGCTCATTTTTTTTAAATTAAGCCATATTTAGACATAAAAGTTACATATTGAACCCTCTTCAGCAAAATACTACATCATTTTATGTAGAAATCAGCAACAATCTCTGTACAGACAAATACAAAATATTACTCCAGCTTCGCTTCCTTTATTTGTTTGACACTTCTGGCTTTTCAAAAGAAAAACTTGGTAAAGGTCAAATTCTAAGTCTTTCAAAAGGCACATCTGTTTTTGCAAATTATCTATTCAATTGCAGTGTCAGCATCTGTTCAAAACTCGTATGATTTGTTTGAGATGGTAACTTGCTTATGAGAGGGAAAACAAAGACTTCTATGAGCTTCTTTGATTAAACCTTAAAGCCTTGATTCATTTGATCAAAAATCTACTAAAAATCCTAATGGGGACAACATTAAAAAAACATTCACATACTAAATATCTATACTTTAAAATTATAAAACTAATTTACAATTGACAAAACCACGTACAATACTGGCCCTTTAAGAAGCCAATAACCAAATGGCACTGATTTTAAAACAACAGGTATTTTTCACTTCAAACTTCCGGCCCTAAGTGCAGTGTAACAAAGATTCAGACACTTTCTTTCCAATGATTCATAATTAATTCCTTGGTTATGGAATGACTATGGATAAAAACAGGCCTAAAGTAGGATTATAACAGGTCTGGACCAGGTGGGCTACTTCTGAATGAGCACTGATCCAACACAGAAGCAAAAGTGGAAATGAAAACAAAATTCTGACAGAACTTTGAAATCAAACGCATGAAAGACACATGTGGAGATGTTTACCACACAAGTTGACACAATGTCAAATATTGTGGTTTAAAGTCCTGTTGAAATGGCAGAGAAGTACAAACTTGTCCAACAAAAGCACTAGATCAGAAGACATGGTGTTTTGCAGCCGGAAATTCCCCCAAAGTGACTCTGGAGACTCGTCTTAACGAAGTGAATTATGTCAAAGCAATAAACCCAAAACTGTAACATATTCAGAATTAGTGAAATAGAATGAAGGAAAACATAGTCACATTCAATTTCAAAAGTAGGAGTAAGCCAGGACTAAACCAGGTCTGAACCGGGTCTGAACCAGGTCTGAACCAGGTCTGAACCAGGTCTGAACCAGGTCTACATATCTCAGCTGTGTAAGAAATGATCCATTAAAATGCCACGATGATGCACGGTAAAACAGATTGAATTGAACTGGACAATTAGTCAAAATTTGTCATGTATGATCCTAATCTAACTCTAAATGTTTTAATTAAAAAAACATTTAGTAGAAGAACAACAGTAAAAGAAAAATAATGTAACAAACTGAGAGAGTGACGATACAACCTCAGACTCTGTTTATGTCTGAGGCTCCTGCTGTTATAACCACTGTGGGGGGTGGGGGAGGGTCATTTGACCAATCACAGAGTCATGTTCATCGCTAAATATGAATATTGAACAATGTAATGTCTGTGTGACCCTGAGATGATTCCTATCAGTTTACAACTTTAAGTAGTTTATTGTACTGTGTAGTGATTTTATACAATACAATAAAAACCTAAAAAAAATGCACATTTTAAACATGATGTAGTTGTGTAAAGTCATGTATAGTGCGTATGGTTTGTAAGGTGTATACTGAATGCATATATTATTATTATTATTATTATCATTAATTTCCTGCTCTGGACAGAGCAGTCGCATTCTCTTGCTGCTCCTCGCTTGCTGCTTTTGTATCTCCTTTAATCATTTTTGCTTAAATTTTTATTCCACAAAACACGGATTACTCCTTTTTACAAACTTCAACACAAGACTTGTGGAATTTACCTAACTTACAGCAGGACTGGAAAAAAGAACAAAACTTTGCGACGGCTGTTTTTCACTCAAACAGGAGCTAAAACTTCTTCAAGACCGAATGTTTGTGCTTGAATCAGAATTGGGGCTGAACACAACAATACCAGTGAAAGGAAATGGACCAAATGGACAGCACGTAAGTTATGATGACGCTATTTCATTTCCCAAAATCAACAGAGACAATTGTTGGAATACATATGGTGCCAAGCCCAAACAAGGCAAAGCTAATGATAACAAGAGTGTCATAATGCCACAGCAAAAATCTTTAATTACAAGAAACCGCTTTTCACTACTTTTGGAAGATGAATCAGCAGTAGCCTCTCAGTCCCAGTCTCAGTCTCAGTCAAGGTCAAATGCAGCTGAGTCGCTCTTTATCGGGGATTCTGCGATAAGAAATGTAAATATGCGTAATCTCAAGGTTCACTCAGTACACTCTGCCAAAGTGGATGAGATAAGGCGGTTGGCTCCGAGGCTTCTGTCTGAGACCGGCGGGGTAAAAAGATTGTTGATCCACGTGGGGGCAGTAGACGTCTATGACAACACAAGTAAAAAGTTGAAACGGGATTACTCTCCCTTATTGGACGACCATGCTAAAATGGACACAACAATCGTTATCAGTGGCCCACTACCAAATGTGGACGGGAAGCAAATGAAATTCAGTCGTCTGTATCAGCTAAGCTTCATTGAGAATTTTAATCTGTTCTGGAATAGGCATGAGCTTTTTGAAGGGAAAGGGCCATATCTGAACACTTACGGAGTAAAAGTGTTGATGGATAACCTTTCTTTTGCCCTGAGACCTCAGCCTGCGCAGCGCGTGCAGCCATCGAAAGGGAGGAAGCCGACTCTAAAAGTCTCTGCACCTCCGCCACCTCGAAGGATCTCAACACCACCACCACCTCGAAGGATCTCAACACCATCACCACCTCGAAGGATCTCAACACCATCACCGCCTCAAAGGATCTCAACACCACCACCGCCTCAAAGGATCTCAACACCACCACCGCCTCAAAGGATCTCAACACCTCCACTGTCATCAGATGCAGCTGTATCATCACCAGCAGCAGCTGCATCATCACCAGTAGCAGCACCAGCAGCACGACCACCACCACCAACATCCTCATCCCCAGCCTGCTCCAAAGCGCCTCTGAAGCCCCCATCCTCACCCCAGCCTACAGCAGACAGGCCTGTGCTGGGGTTTCCT